GGTGGACCAACTCCCACAAGCCAAGCCCGACCACGGGCCTGGCTTGGGGAGAAGAACTCCCAAACCCCCATCAAGCAGGTATCAAGCAGACGATGGGAAGGAAGCTGCACGACACTGGGAGACAGAAGAACCAGAGGGGACAACACTACCACAAGCAAGACCCCTCAGAGGAAGGAGAGGGTAGATAAAGATGTCCCAGGGGACACAGGAGGAACGGATGCCCAAAGAGCAGGAGAGACCACAAAGGACTAGCGTCAGGAAGAGACAAATGGAAAGCAGGAGGAAGGGATGAGCTGGAGGCCAACCCCCCACACAGCGATAAGTGGAGAGACGACAGAGCCCAACAGGCTCAGGAAGCCGCACAGAAATCAAATGACAGGCGAGAGGAGAGACCAAAAAACCCCCAAATGCAACTCCTGTAAATACAACTAGGCGTGCACAACAAGGTAAGCACAGAAGCCACGCATATGGCAGGTGAGCAACAGTGGAGCAGGACAAAAGAGCGAAAAGCACAACCCCTCAAGCACAACGAGGTGAGGACAACCAGGGGAGTACAAAGAAGCCAACGAACCTGGAAGGGCTAAGCCAGGTACTGCATGGCAGGCAAGGAATGAGCGACCCAGAGAAGACAAGCTGAACAATTAGCACAGACAAACATACAAGGCCCCAGGAGGAAAACACGCAAGGGCCAAACAAAACGCCACAACCAAACCCCAACACTCACCCTCGGTAACAAAACCGAATAAAAATGGCACCCTCATAACATCCAGACACAGGAAAACCGTACCTCATAAGTCACCTCCACCAACGTACCACGTAACCCGGGGAGGTGGGGGCCCCCAGGACTAACTCAAGCATGGGTTGGACATGCATACGAGTGGGATAGGATGGGTACAATAAGGAGCTGTCTCGCATGGGCCAAGAGACACCCTGCAGGCACCTGTGTCTTGCCGTTCCCACATTCACACGCCAAAAACCAAGGATCAACGCCTGGCTGAACGACGCCAGATCGCATAAAACTTTGCACACTCGCTGATATGCCCTGGCAACAAAGCCAGGAACACTCAACCAGCCCCACAGGCTAGTACCTTCCAGAACCGAAGTCTACAGCACTCTTCTAGCCCTACTGGCTAGCACTTCCAGGAGTAAAGTCCACAGCGCTCGACCAGCCCACTAGGCTAGTCCATCCAGGAGTAACGCCTACAGCCCTCGACCAGCCCACTTGGCTAGTCCATCCAGGAGTAAAGTCCACAGCGCTCGACCAGCCCTCTTGGCTAGTCCATCCAGGTTGACCTCTGTCTTCCACTGTCCCAACTTCACTGCCTTCCCTAGCCTGCCTCGGGTCTCTCGTCACCTTTCAGCCTGGCAGACTAAAAAATGGGAAGCTATGATTACTGGGAGGGGTCGACTTGTATAGTTCAGCACCCAGATCGTAGATGGCGCTGAAGTCTGTCACAGCCACCACAAACTGAGGAAAAGAGAGATAAGAGAAAACCCGATCCAAAGACCAGGATGGCTCAAGCGGCACATGAGCATGCCGAAGGTGAAACAATGCACGAGACAGCTTGCAAAATGGCGCTGAAGTAACATCCGAAGTAACAGTAATACCGAAAGCAAGCTGTAGCAGCTCCGCCAGTGCTGCACAATACGATGCGACAGTATTAGGCATAAGATGATGGTCTTGAAACAACACGAGAGAAAAGACAAGACAACCCTAAGCTAGAGCGAAGAATACCTACAAAGCAAGAGAAAGAACAAAAGGATCGCCAGGAAACTTCATACTGCCATCAAGATGAAACCTGCAGGTGGAATACCATCAAGGATGCCACCTGATCACCACACAAATGGTGATAGACCTGAGTCAAAAAGACCAAACGCGAAGACTCGAGGAGTAGATCGAACCAGCCAGGTCACAGATTGGACCGATCTGCTGAGAGAGGCGGAACCGCGGGAATACCTCCGGGTTCGGACACCGAGCAAGCAGCGCCTGAAACCAAGGCTGGGCCGGCCACCAAGGGGCCAAAAGGACTACTCTTTCCTGGTAAGTCTCCAAGCAAACCAGGACCTGAAGCAACAGCTGAACCGGGGGAAAAGAGGTACAGGGACTCTCACCTCGAGCAGTCCTGCTGATAGGAATCAACCTCGATGGCCTTGGAGTCGGGGAAGTGCGCTACATATACTGGAAGACGCCTCGACCACGCCGATGCGAAGAGGTCCACATCCGGGCGCCCTTACGTGTGGCAGAGCCAACTGAATGAGTTGGCGTCGACCGTCCATTCTGTGGACAGGGGAACGAGCCAAGACAGGCCGTCCGCCAGAACTTTGGACATCCCCCAAACGTGAACCACCAGGAGAGCCAAACCTTGAGAACTCAACAGACGAGTCACCCAAAGGAGTGTATGCTATATGCACCGGGGGCAACAACCAAGGCAGACCCTCTCTACCAGGCATTAAAACAAAAAGAAAAAGAAAACCTGTCTGTCTGCAAGAGGACAGCGTACCCAGGCAGAACAGAGCCGGCTATTATGAGAGGTGAAAACTAGCTGTGCAGTACCCTGCACCCCTACCAGTGCAAACTGCCTGTTACCCTAAGGTGAACAAGGATGCCAGAACACCGCAGCACACAAAGGGCAGCCAAAAGCCGCGATGCGAACGACCAAGCAGAGGCAGAACCCAAGGAACTTGTGGAAGGATGCCCTAAGCCCCAATGGCAGTACTTGCCGGACACCTAGGGAAGGGAACCCTAGGTGCATGTAGCCCGAGTACTGAAGAATTACTCCTGGCTCACACACCCTCCATAAGACAGCCACCACACCACATAGGCTCAGAACTGAGAACCAATGTCAGGACCCAGAGCATACGACTTCCGCCTAGCGCATCAGACTTAGAACTAGTTATGTTCGACTGCCCTAGAGTACAATTTTTTGGTATACGATGTCAAATTCATCGTAAAATTTTAATTGGTGTTTGACGTTTTCTTTGGAATATGACGTATGATGATACGTGTATGGGTCGAACGAGTGCGTGATGCTGGGAGGCAGGGCACACTCAGTTGTTTACCAGTGCATCCCACATATTAATGACCGCCACTGTGCTTGAATTCTTTGTAAAGAATTTCATTTTTTCTGCTCATTTTGGTTTCTGAACATAAAATTTCTTATAATATATCACGCTATATGTCCCCAAAAAGTCAGTGGTAAAGTTCAACTTAAGAAAATAGTTGTGAGGATGACGATACAGGATAAACAACAGATAATTCGTAAACATGAAAATAGTATAAGGGTTGTTGAACTAGTTAGGGTGGATGGTTTTGATGTGGAAGAAATAGTGGAGGAACACAGCGAAGAACTGACCACTGAGGAAATTGTAGCCCTTCACAAGGAGCAGCAGTAAGAGAAAGCTGAGGAAATTTCTTAAGGGGAGGAAGAGGCGGTAGAGAATGTCCCTTATTAATTAAGAAAATGTGTGCAGTATGGGAAGGACTGCAAAGTTTTGCTGAAAAGTGTCGCCCAGATAAAGCTGTAGCAGGCTGTTGCGTTGACCATTTTAATGACAATGTGATGTCCCGCTACAGAGAAGTGTTGAAACATAGGAAAATCAAGGTGTCTATAGACAGATTCTTAGTAAGCCAAAAAAGCAGTGAGCCACAACAGGGTCCTAGTAGTATGCCTACAAAACGTAGAAGAGAGCACCCAGGAAATGTCATCAATGCATGATGTTATAATGGAAGGTGACTCCCCTTCCAAACACTAACACCTCTCCTCTTCTCTCCCCCCCCCCCCCTCTTCACCATCTTCCATATGCCAACAAGAGTCCTCAATACAGGTAAGATATACTGTACTGTAGTACAAAATATGAGCAGTATTCGGTATGAAATATATTTTTAGGTTAATATTTTTGGGTGTGTGGAATGGATTAATTCAATTTACATTATTCTTATGGGGAAAATTCATTTTGATTTACGATTTTTTGGTGTACAATGCATGTCTGGGAATGGATTAGAATCGTAAACGAAGGTATCAGTATATCGTAAGATTAAAAATTCCCTACGGTACACATGGCTCGCGTCTGTTCCTCGGGACTCTAGTAAACAGACCATCTTGAAAAATAAATTGTCTACATCCTTCGTGGCAGTGAGAGCCTCAGTAGTGCCAGAGCAACCAAGGCTGGCACATGCTGCTCTAGCTCACAGCACAGCTGCACAAGTTGGGACCATGGCTCCCATTTAATAATTAATAAAATAAGTAACTGTAATTATTTTACATTGATTTTGTTATAAATGATCCTGAGTGTAATAATAATGTACAAAAAAACATTATGTATAAAATAAGTAACTGTAATTATTTTACATTGATTTTGTTATAAATGATTTCGAGTGTAATAATAATGATGTACAAGGTTCAGGTATCAGTGAACACAACGATAATTATGATATTCACAGCAGGAGGCAGACATTCACAGCACACAGCAGAGATTTGTGAATCTATGCATCATGCAATGTGACCTCAAGTTCCTTTAGAAAATAATCTTGTGGAAAATGACTCATATTCATGATTGCAATGATGCTACAAGAATAATTATTTCCCTCTGATAAGCTATGCACATATCCTTAAAAAAAAAAGTCAGGTCATTTACTTGTGGCATTGATGTTATTAGAAAATCCACAGGATCTATAATGAAGATTCGAACCTATACGCTGGGTGTTCCCAGACACTCTCGTTAGAAACTAGGCCACGATATGGTCAAAAGAATTGCAACCTGGGGTTCTGCCGAACCCACGAGGAGTCCCGAAACTGGGGTTTAGTAGTACTCCAGATTGCAATTCTTTTGACCATCTTGTGGTTTAGTCATCTAGAGCGTGTGCCTTAGAATATCCAGATCATAGGTTCGAATCCTCATCATGGCTCCTGTGGATTTGCTCATTGATATATCATGTTACTTTGATTTCTCTGTGTATTGATGATATTGTTCAGTACTGTATTTACCATTTAATATTTCAGGTGTGGATAGATTGCTCCTAATGCAGTCAAATGAAACAAAAAATCTACGTTTTGACTTCAAGACAGATGATCTACAGTTTCACTCCTCTGAGGAAGAGTGTGACAAGGAAGAGATGGAGGAAGAGGAAGAAGAGGAAGAAGAGGAGGAGGTGGAAGAGGAGGAAATATATGAATATGAGGATGAAGAGGAGGAAGAGTTTGACAGCGAGGCTGAAGACCCTGTAAGTATTTCTTTAGTATAACCAAAAATTTTGAAATCCAAAAGTATATCCAAAAGTTTTGTATATCCAGAAAAAAAAACCAGCATTGAATGTAATGAAACGCCATTTTCTGGGTGAGTCCTGAAGGCTCCCTGGAGCTATCCAGGCTGATATGGATATATTAGCTTTCTGGCATCTGTCAAAGTGCATGGAGTTCGACCTACTGGGGACCACGAGCCAGAACCTGGCCCCCCTCAGATGAGGCACAAGGAGCAAAGGACAACTCTCCCTTGGTAAGTCTCCAAGCAAGCTAGGACCTGGAGCAACAGCTGGACCAAGGGGAAGAGGTACAGGTAACCCCACCTCATCCGGTCCTGCCTGAAGGAGTCGACCCCAACGGCCTTGCAGTCAGAGAAGACGCCTCGATCAAGCTGATGCGAAGAGGCCCACTTCTGGAGTCCCGAGCGTCCGGCATAGCCAACTGAACGAGTTGGTGTCGACAGTCCACTCCGTGGAATGGGGACTGAAGTAGGACAGGCTGTCTGCCAGGACATTGGACAACCCCCGAACATGAACAGCCAGGATAGCCAAACCCCAAGAACTTAGCAGACGAGTCACCTAAAGCGACCAGCCCCAACGAGCCAAAGACTGCATCGAACCTCCGCAGTTCAGGCAATGAACCACTGGGGAACAGTCTGAATGGAGCTAGATCGTCGATCTGGGAGCAACCCGATTCCTCTGAAGCAACATCCACACAGCTGCAAGGCAGGACTGGGCGAGGTGGGGTTACAAAGCAGGTAACCCCACCTCACCCAGTCCTGCTTGAAGGCATCGACCCCCGACGGCCTCGCAGTCAGGGAAGGGAGCCACATATACCAGGAGACGCCTCGACCATGCTGACGCGAAGAAATCCACGTTCGGAGTCCCGAACGCCCGGCACAGCCAATTGAAGGAGTCGGCATCGACAGTCCATTCCATGGAAAGGGGAAGAAACCGGGACAGGCTGTACACCAGGACGTTGGACACCCCCGGACGTAAACTGCCAGGAGAGCCAAACCCCTAGAACTGAGCAGATGAGTCACCGGAGTACACTACATACAAAATAATAACAGGAATTGATAAAATCAATAGGGAAGATTTACTGAGATCTGGAACTTTAAGAACAAGAGGTCATAGATTAAAACTAGCTAAACACAGATGCCGAAGAAATATAAGAAAATTCACTTTCGCAAACAGAGTGGTAGACGGTTGGAACAAGTTAGGTGAGAAGGTGGAGGAGGCCAAGACTGTCAGTAGTTTCAAAGCATTATATGACAAAGAGTGCTGGGATGATGGGACACCACGAGCGTAGCTCTCATCCTGTAACTACACTTAGGTAATTACCCGAAGCAATCAGCCCCAAAGAGCCAAGGACCACATCGAACCCCAGCAGTTCAGGAAATGAACCACCGGGCAGCAGTCCGAATGGAGCCTGATCGTGAATCTGTGAGCGACTCCAATCCTCCTGAGCGCCATCCACACCGCCGCGAACTCCCGCACCGTGCTGTGAGCCCGACGGAAGGACGGACCCCACGGTCCCTTACCGGCTTGATGAGCACTGGTCACAAAGCTCCAGCCAAGAGCTGACGCGTCCGTGAACACATCGAGTGAGGGCTTGGGTAGGCGCCAAGGCACAGAATCCTGAAAAACCCGAAGAGGAAGCCGGCGATGCAGTAACCAATGCAAAGCCCCTGGATGTTGATCCCAGCGGTCGCGAGAGAGGCGGAAAGAATGTCCCCGAAAGAACCAGAATGGCCGACGAAGCCACACCCGACCTGGCGGGTAGACCATCATGGCGGTGTTCAGGCTCCTACACAAACCCTCAAGCAACTGCCGCGTGACCTGGGCACCCCTAAGAACAGGCGAAAGTAGGAATGCTGCTGAAGCAAAGCCACCAGAGGAAAAGACATGGAAGCAATCCAAGCATCCCACACAAAACCCAGCCAAGACCGAACCTGAGAGGAAACCAGATGGGTCTTTCACCAGTTTACAAGGAACCCGAACCCCGAGAGCTGGGAAAGAACCAAATCCCTGGCGAGGAGACACGTGAACTGGCTTTGAACCTAAACTAGCCAGTTGTTGAGGTAGGCCAAAACCCGAACACAGAATCAGGCGGGCCACCATGACCAGAGTAAGGCGTGCGAAAATGCGAGGTTCCAGATTCAAGCGGAATGGAAGGCAACGAAAGCAGTAAACCTGACGCCCCACAACAAAACTGAGCCAGTCCCTGACACTTGGATGAGTCAGGACATGCCAATACGCGACCTTGAGGTCCAGGGACACCATCCAAGTGTCTGGCTCTAACAGAAGACGGACCTGGGACAGAGTAGTCATACGAAAGGAGGGGCAATAAACCCAAGGGTTCATGGGACAAGTCCAGAATGAACCAGAGGTCTGCACAGTCCTGTTTTGGGACTGGAAACAGGCAGGAAACCCACCTGAGGGACGAGATCATTTTGACCACACCCAAGCAAACCCACTCCGAGATGACCCAACACGGCGCAGGAGAAGAGGCTTGCCCTGCCAGGCCCAAGTCCCCTGAAGGAGGAGGAGCCACCCAATGCCACCGCAGGTCGCACGAAATGACCCGAAAGGCCTACAAATCGTAATTACCTAAGTGTAATTACCTAAGTGTAGTTACAGGATGAGAGCTACGCTCCTGGTGTCCTGTCTTCCCAGCACTCTTTGTCATATAATGCTTTGAAACTACTGACGGTCTTGGCCTCCACCACCTTCTCCCCTAACTTGTTCCAACTGTCTACCACTCTGTTTGCGAAAGTGAATTTTCTTCTATTTCTTCGGCATCTGTGTTTAGCTAGTTTATATCTATGACCTCTTGTTCTTAACGTTCCAGGTCTCAGGAAATCTTCCCTATCGATTTTATCAATTCCTGTTACTATTTTGTATGTAGTGATCATATCACCTCTTTCTTCTGTCTTCTAGTTTTGGCATATTTAATGCTTCTAACCTCTCCTCGTAGCTCTTGCCCTTCAGTTCTGGGAGCCACTTAGTAGCATGTCTTTGCACCTTTTCCAGTTTGTTGATGTGCTTCTTAAGATATGGGCACCACACAACTGCTGCATATTCTAGCTTTGGCCTAACAAAAGTCGTGAACAATTTCTTTAGTATATCGCCATCCATGTATTTAAAAGCAATTCTGAAGTTAGAAAGCGTGGCATAGGCTCCTCGCACAATATTCTTTATGTGGTCCTCGGGTGATAGTTTTCTATCTAGAACCACCCCTAGATCTCTTTCTTTATCAGAATTCTTTAAAGATTTCTCACATAATATATAGGTTGTGTGGGGTCTATGTTCTCCTATTCCACATTGCATAACATGGAATACGTGTCAATACATGTCCAACCGTGGACATTTTCAAGAGAAAACTAGATTTATTCCTCCAAGGAGTGCCGGACCAACCGGGCTGTGGTGGGTATGTGGGCCTGCGGGCCGCTCCAAGCAACAGCCTGGTGGACCAAACTCTCACAAGTCAAGCCTGGCCTCGGGCCGGGCTTGGGGAGTAGAAGAACTCCCAGAACCCCATCAACCAGGTATCAACCAGGTAAGGCATTTATTAACATTAAATTCCATTTGCCAAGTGGCGCTCCATGTACTTATTTTGTACAGGTCTTCTTGAAGGGCATGACAATCATCTAAGTTTCTTATCCTTCCTATTATCTTAGCATCATCAGCAAACATGTTCATATAATTCTGTATACCAACTGGTAGATCATTTATGGAGACAATAAACATCACTGGTGCAAGAACTGAACCCTGTGGTACTCCACTTGTGACATTTCTCCAGTCTGATACATTGCCTCTGATCACAGCCCTCATTTTTCTATCAGTCAGAAAACTTTTCATCCATGTTAGAAGCGTACCTGTCACTCCACCAATATTTTCCAGTTTCCAGAACAACCTCTTATGTGGAACTCTGTCAAAAGCCTTTTTTAGGTCCAGATAGATGCAGTCAACCCAACCATCTCTTTCCTGTAATATCTCTGTTGCTCGATCATAGAAACTGAGTAAATTCGATACACAGGATCTTCCAGATCGAAAACCATACTGTCTGTCTCATATTATATCATTTCTCTCCAGGTGTTCTACCCATTTAGTTTTAATTATTTTTTCCAATATTTTGACTATTACACTTGTCAATGATACCGGTCTATAATTAAGGGGGATAATTGTTTTCCTAAAAAGATTTTCCTAAAAAGAAAGAAGAAAAGAAAAGATAAAGATTTTCCTAAATCTTTGTCAAATCGTGGGACCAGGCGCGAGCAAACTGAGTGACCCTCTCCCCCATTATCCCATCAATGGGACGAACAGTGAAAGGGCCGACTTATCTTATGAGCACCTAAGTGGCGCACAGGATGATCCCTGCACCAAACAGAAATAGACAGCACCGAAGGCTGCACCTGCGCTGAATCTGGCACCACTGGCCTACCATGATGGGAAGAACCCCAAGCCCTGGCACGACCCTTCCAGGAAGGCCTCCCACAAGCCCCCCTGTAGGACTAACAAGTCCGACATAGGACGGCAACTAGACGAAGCTGCCTGCAGATACTGCACAACCGCAGACTCTGCAAATAGCAATGGGCAAAAGGGCAAAGAAAACCAAAGAACCAAGCGGAATCCATGGAAGAAGTGAGCACCGCCTGCTGACATGTGAGTCGAGAAGCAAAAAAATGCGAAACCACATCCTGCAGGATCAGAGCGAACAACTTTAAGGCAGACGACGAACGCTCTGCTGAGGTCAACGCACCAGACCCAGAGGTTGCTCCAAGCTCCTCCACATCCAACTCAAGCCAGTTTGACGACAGCTTGACCAGGGAGAAGAAACACAGGGCTGAAGCCAACAGGCTATGCATGTGCAAGTCCTCCACGACCAATGCAGCCTAAAGGAAAGGAACCTGCACCTGGAGCTTCAACACAGCAACATCCTGCAGAAGGGCAGAGGCGAACAAGCACGCATTGAGATGCTCGAATTTGCCCCCTAGGAAAACCTGCAATGCCATTTGAGCCTCTTGCCACTCAAAGGTGCGGGACTGACAGAATGAATGCCAAGCCTTCAATGAGAAAAGAGGGCAGTCTGCTTACCAGGACAACTCCAGAACTTCATAACAAACCCAGTAAGAACAAGAAGCTCCATACATGAATGAATGCAGATCCATTATGAAGGCATTTTCTGGGTCGCGTAGGAGGTAAGCCACAAGGGCTTCCCGCACCACAAGAGATGGGATGCGGGAAGCCGAAAACCTCCAGAAAGATGGAACCGAAGAACCCACAAGATCACAGAACCGAATCCTGGGAGGGGTAGACACCAAATCCAATTCGTACGAAGATCGAGCTAAAGGGCACCCCACTCCTTGCAACACCAAGCCCCACTCTGAGGGTACAAAAACCCAGGCGGGGTCCTAACGGGGCCCAAAGGTCCTCCAAACCCTGCGCCTCTAGAGAAAAGGAAAGAGTCGCCAAAAGACCAGGATCAAAAGGGGGCCCATTGGTCAGACCCAGAAACTCCGTCTGGAGGACCACGTTTGAATGCCTCCGCCGCCACCCCAGAAGGGGACTTCCCCGAAACCACCCGAGTCTCAACACCAAGTAGACCCTGCCCCGACTCCGAAACCCTCAGACGCCGGAAGCAAGGGGGGAGGAACCGGATGTACAACTGAAGGGGAAGGACAAGGAGGGGTGGACGGAACCAAAGTTGAAGCGACTTCCACCCTCTCAAGTCCTGGTCCCTAAAACCAAAATGGGGCAGTCTCGGGGCATCTGGGGAAGCGACCAACCTATAACGTTGCATGCAGCAACCTATACCGAGCATTCAATGCCGCATCTGCCTGCACCCTCATATCATGATCAGTAGCTTGGGTGAAGTCGAGCATGTCCAAACAACAACATCGCACAATTCAGGGTTAAAAGAATCACCAACCCTACAGGCAGCATGGCGGACACACAACTGGTGATTGTCGCACTGAGACAAGGGGACAGAGCAACCTTCAACCTCACATGAAGCGAGAGGGGACTCAAGGGGTGCATACATCGGACCATGGAGCCCCCGCAGGATTTCCCACAGCCCTTAGCTTTGCTAACATGCTAAGGGAAGCCCAGGCAGGGTACAACTAACCGGCGTCCTAAAACTACCAAACAAACTGCTAAAAGCTGCACCCCGTGATGTGTACACTCACAGGGGCCTAGCAGAAGACCACCAAATAACAATAGGGAACCACCAACCCAGAGGCAGATCCCCCCCCCCCCCCCACCAGGCAACAAAAATAAACAGAAAAAGAAAATCCCGCAAGAGGACAACGTGCTCAAGCGGAACAGAGCCTGCCGCTATGAGAGGTAATGACTGTACCCTGCGCCCCTACCAGTGATGAAAACTACCCCAACCCAGAGGCAAACAAGGGCAAACAAAAATCCCAGCTGACTCCAAGGGCGGCCAAGTACCGAGCAGTAAAAGACACAGTGGAGGTATATCTCAAGGAGACTTGTGGAAGGTGGCTCCAAGCCCCAAGGGCAGTACTTACAGGGCACCTAGGGAAGCAAACCCTAAGTGCATGCAGTCCAAGTACTGAAGAATATTACTCCTGGCGCACACACCACCCATAGAGACAGTCCACGCATCAAGGCACAGAAACTGAAACAAATTCCAGAGTCAGAGGCACGCGACCTGCCAGTACTACATCAGCCAAGAACTAAAGGGTGGTTCACTGGTGCGAGGGTTTGGGGCTCCCCCCCCTCCCCCTTGCACAGCCAGTGGCGCGGTAACGTGATGACGTCATGCTAGTTGGTAGTTTTCATTTGGGGAGTTCTGTCCACTCGTTCAATTTTTCTTAGCAATATTTTCACCAGAATAGGGGTTGTTTTGGGGTGCCTACCTTTCTGGGTGCCAGAACCGGTCGATGGCAGACATAGAATGTTTCCAACCACACGAGGGTTTCTATAGGCCATTGCTCTTCATGCCTCTCTGAGGGGTGCCAGGTTCTGGCTCATGGTCCCCGGTAGGCAAGAACTCCATGCACATTGTCTGATGTCAGAAAGCTAATATATACATATGAGCCTGGATAGCTCCCCAGAAAAGTTTTTTGTTTGCATTCAAATATTGTATTTGTGCATGAAAATTGGTAATTATTATGCAAAAGTTGTCATATGTACATATTTATAGATACTGTATATGTGTATTACTGCATGTCCTTTACATTATATCTTCTTTCACTAATTATGAGTCTGTCTTATAAAAACAAACAATTTATACTATATACATGAACATAAATGTGTTTGTGTCATTAGAATTTCAGGAGTGTATGATAGTCAGGAGGAGTATGTGATATTGTGTAAAACAGTCAATCCTTGATGCTCCAGATTCCTCTTGTCTCATAGAGAGAGCCAGATTTTAGTCTGGGCTCTCTATAGGCTTGGGTGGGTCTCGGAAGGCTGGTGCGACTTCCTAAGGTTTGGAGGTACAGTACCAGAACTTCTGCTCGGGAAGCTACTGAGAGACCAACCAGAAAATGATTCGTTACATTCAGTGCTTTATTTCTTTCATCCACAATAGGAAGAAGAAGCAATCCTAAGAGCGCATGGTGTTATTGATGATGACAGTGAAGGGCGTGACTTCATGCTCAATGATGCCACTGACCTGTTACCCGTACAGTCTAAACCTCATCCACAGAAACTGAATATTCTTCCTCATGGTCCTGATCCATGGGCTGATAACAATTCTGTCAAACCCACTTTAAAAGTTATGAGTGACAGTCACAATCCTCTTCAGCATTTCAGAAAACAGAAAGGTGAGAATAAACTGGGTGTGGCTGAAAGACAATTACTTGATAATATTAATCAGAAGACCACACCACAACAAAATAAAACAGAACAGCAAAAGAAGCAAGTGCCTGGAAAAGATTCCCTAGGAAAACCCAAATCAGCTGGAACTGAGGCGTGTAACAGTAGTATATCAAGTGTCCAAGACTCTCGGACTGGAAAGCCTAAAGTGCCAAATGTTCCCAGTAATTTGACTCAGCCCACAACAATTTCAGGTAAGACAATGTCAGATAAAACAAATGATGCACAGAATTCTCCTGCAGTTAAAAAAAGCGACGATGTAAAGAAGACTGAAGCTAAACCACAGGAAGATCGGAAATTGGAACTGGAAGGAGCTCCCAGAAACAGGAAGACTAATCCTCTTGATCGAGTTGTAGCGAAGTTGAGTGGGAGAACAGAAAACAAGGAAGAGGAGGTGAGCTCAACGACTGTTGCAGCAGCAGCAGTGCCAGCTACTGTCAAGAATCTTACAGTTAATTTAAATAAGTTGATGAATAATGAAGATGAGAGTGAGGTAAAGTTTTTGTATTGTTTGTCAATGATCATAATATATTACTAATAACTTCATCTACTTGTTATATAAATTATGAGTGTTTTTTTTATTGTGATAAGAAAATTTGAGCTGCAAATTTTTTCATTTTAAAATTGTGACAAAGTACAGATTTAAATGCAAGAAACTTGCATTTGTCTTTTATTAACAGGAAGAGAAGAGTGGAGGTGTTCAGCTCTCTGGTTCTGTGGCTGTGACAAGCCAGGATGACATTCATCAAATAAACCTGGTGAGTAATTTTTTTTATTTGATACAAATTTTCTGGCAGGGCTTTGAAAATGCTTGCCTGCTACCTGGATTCCTTCACCCTATTCAGTCCTTGCCATTGTAAGCCTGCTAGGAACCAGAGGCCAAAACCTGCCTCCTTCTAAGGAGACACGAGGAGCAGGGAATCCTAAGTCACCCCTAGCCAAGAAAATACTGCTGTAAAAATAGTCGAGCCAAAACATACAAAGTGCAGGTAGGCAAAGCATAGAAAAAGAGACAGCAAAGACCTGAGATGAATGAATCCCCTGGTTATGAAGCAGTTCTCGTGTTAGTTCCACCTGCCCCCCAATATGTGAATGCACACCATCTTCCTCAGTCCTTTAGCCAAGACCCTTAGTAACTTTGCCTAGCATATGCACATCCATGATGTTCACTGTTCCACTCCTCTTTCCATCCCAGTACATCTTTTTTCTTTTTCCAGTACAGATGGAGAAAATTGCATGAGTAATAGAATAGTGCAAGAAAGATATGTAACTGACCTATGCACAAGTGACCAAGTGGGAGAAGGAAACAAAAGAAGGGATAAAGGAAGCCAGAAACTGCAGCAATCAGAAAAGCACAGAAATTAGACTGGATGCCAGAAGGGAACTGGCATTAAATCTGAAACTGGTGCAAAACACAGTCAAAATCCCTAATCATTTCTGGTTGCAAAGAAAAGGAGATAACATCAAGGCCAGAAAGAGCCACAAAAGAAGCGAAAATAGTAGATAAAATTGTTGGACTAGTGGATGGATGGAACCAAAGATAATAAATTGCCATCCACACTTCCATGGAAATAAACATTCCATTCACCTAGACAGTATGGGTCTTGAACCGTGGACCCCACGAGTGTGAGACCATAGCTCTGTCAACTCAGCTATGAGCAGTCTTAACACTTTACCTGGCCGATAACTCATAATGTATCCATATATGAATATACTCAGTCTGGCCGAGGACACACGCTGCATCTAAAATAAAAATATTCCTTAAAAATTCATTTTTCTGGGGGAGCCCCTTCGGCTCCCTGGAGCTTATCCAGGCTGATATGCTAATGTCAGACTTTGGCATCAGTCATGTGTATGGAGTTCTGTGGGCCTACCGGGGATCATGAGCCAGAACCTGGCCCTCTCAGAGAGGCATGGGAAGTAATGGCCTATAGAAACTCCTGTGTGGTTGAAAGCATTCTATGTCTGCCATCGACCGGGTCAGGCACCCAGAAAGGTAAGTATCCCAAAAACAAACCCCTATTCTGGTGAAAATTGTAACCAAAAGCCAAACAAGTGGATAAAACTCCCCAGAAAGAAACGAGCATAACGTCACACATCGCCGCGCCACTGTCTGCACAGTGTGCCCTGTAAGTACTGCCCTTGGGGCTTGGGGTTACCTTCCCCCAAGTTCATTGGGTTCTGCCTCTGCTAGGCCGTTTACTGCTTGGTTTTCGGCCACCCTTTTTGTGCTGGGGTGTTCTGTTTCCCTTGTTCACTTTAGGGTAAGGGGCAGTTTTACACTGGCTGGGGCACAGGGTACTGTGCAACTTGTTTTCACCAATCATAGAGGCCGGCTCTGTTCCGCCTGGGTACGCTGTCCTCTTGCGGGGTTTTCTTTTTCTTTTTGTTTATCTGTTGGTGGGGGTCTGCCTTGGTTCTTGCCCCCTGTGTACTGAGTGTTCTTCCTTCTTCCAGTGATTCCCCCTGCTAGGTCCCCGTGATTGTACATGTCCCGGGGGTTCAGTGTTTAGAAGGTTGTTTTAAAGACTTGGGCGCCGGTAAGCAGTACCCTGCCTGGGATTATCTGGGCATGAATCCCGTAAATGCTCAGAACCCTGGGAATCCCCTAGGGGGCGAGTGGGTTTGTTGGATGTGAGCCCGGAGTCGCCCCCCCTCGCTTTGTGCGAGTTCGAGGGTTGCTCTGTCCCCCTTGTCTCTGGGTGACTCTCACTGTCTTTGCCTCCGTCTGCTGCCTGTGAGGCTGGTGGCACCTTCGGCTTGGAGTCCTTCGAGTATTGTTGCTTGTTAGTGACTTGGTTACCCTGTCTTATGGGGACTATGCGGGTACAGGCAGCATGAGCATTGCATGTTGCATTTCTCTGGTGGCAATGCGCTAGGTAGCTTGCTCCCCGGAAGCCCCGAGGCTGCCCCGTTTTTGTTGGTGTGACGGGGCTTAGGGGGTGTTGGTTGCTTCAGTTTTGTTTCCTTCCACACCCCTTGTTCTTCCCCTGTAGTGGTCTTGAGACTCTGGCAGTCTTTGGGAATTCCCCTTCCGGGGTAGCGATGGGGGCATTCAAGCCTGTTCCTCCAGCCGTGTTGTATAAGCTGCCAGTGGGCTCCTTTCCTTAGTACTTGTCCGGCTGTCCTGGCTTTTCTTGTGAGGCTTGGGCTTTGGAGGAACAGCTCAGCCCCAGGACCTACCTTGTGGGTTCCCGGTGCTTGTTAGGGGTTGATGTTGGACCCCGCCTGGGTTTTTCTACTCTCTGGGCGGGGGTTGTGGTTACGAGGAGTGGCGTTTTTCTTTCCCCCCTCTCCGTACATGTTTTTGGAAGTCGGGCCCCCTCCCCAGGATCGGTTTCTTATCCCTTGGATCCGTTGGGTCCGTCCTGTCAGTGGGTACGTTTCTCCACCCTTCTTCTTGGGATGGGCTTTAACCTTCATGTTCCCCTCTTCTCAGAGTTCTGCATGACTTTTGGTCTAGGGTGCGACTTTGCCTTCTGTGCCTTTTTGCTTCACGCTTGCTTCTTTCTGTTCTAGAAGGATCGGAAAGGTTTTCTTTCTTCTCGTACTATTGGAACGTCTGTCGTCTTCCGGTCCTTTCTGGGGCTTGTTGGTTCTTCTCCGAGCTTCTCAGTTTTTGGTCCTGTTTCGTTCTTTCGTGTTTCTCTTCTCTCCGTGCACTGTCCTGCGCTGTATAGGGTTGCCAGATTCGGCTCCTTGTAGCCCAAATGGGAAGCTGTGCTATGTTTCTTTTCGCTCCTTACTGCTCTTTTCGACTGCGGTTGGCGGCTGCCCTGTGTATTCTTCATCTGGGACTTGGTCGTTAACAACACAATTTTGTCTGGTTTTCTAATCACATTCGTGGTTTCTTTCTTCAGCTCGCTACTTCTAGCAACCCACATCTGGCATCCCTGCTGCGCATGCGCCGTGGTTGTTTGTTTTATTGTGGGTGGTGTGCATGTGTGCTGGGGTTCTGCGTTTTTTCTCACGGGCGTTTTGTCTCTTGCTCCTCTCATTTCTCCAGTCCATGGCCCATAGCTCCTGGGGGGTGTTCTGGATTGCTGCTATGGGGAGGACGCTGGGTTTTTCCTGCATATGGGTGTGGGGCTTATCCTATGCCTCTTCCCTACTCTTCTCCTGCATGTGCGGCTCTACCTTCTTCCACTGGTGGTGCTCTTGGAATCTTCTCGGCTACATTGTGTCATGACTCGTTCGTGCCTATGTTCTGCAGGTGAGTTTATGCGGTCTGGCATCTCTTTCGGCCAGGCGCTGGTTCATGGTTTTTGGATATGAATATAAGAACATCAGAACACAGGTGACTGCAGCAGGCCTATTGGGCCATACGAGGCAGCTCCTATTTATACCCATACAGTCCCACTCTTATGCATGTCCAACCCATGCTTGAGTCCAACTAGGGGCCTCACCTCCACTAGGTTACAAGGTACAATGGTAGGGTATATAATTACCTAAGTGTAGTTACAGGATGAGAGCTACGCTTGTGGTGTCCCGTCTTCCCAGCACTCTTTGTCATAAAACGCTTTGAAACCACTGACGGTCTTGGCCTCCACCATCTTCTCCCCTAACTTGTTCCAACCGTCTACCACTCTGTTTGCGAAAGTGAATTTTCTTATATTTCTTCGGCATCTGTGTTTAGCTAGTTTATATCTATGACCTCTTGTTCTTAAAGTTCCAGGTCTCAGGAAATCTTCCCTGTCGATTTTATCAATTCCTGTTACTATTTTATATGTAGTGATCATATCACCTCTTTTTCTTCTGTCTTCTAGTTTTGGCATATTTAATGCCTCTAACCTCTCCTCGTAGCTCTTGCCCTTCAGTTCTGGGAGCCACTTAGTAGCATGTCTTTGCACCTTTTCCAGTTTGTTGATGTGCTTCTTAAGATATGGGCACCACACAACTGCTGCATATTCTAGCTTTGGCCTAACAAAAGTCGTGAACAATTTCTTTAGTATATCGCCATCCATGTATTGAAAAGCAATTCTTAAGTTAGAAAGCGTGGCATAGGCTCCTCGCACAATATTCTTTATGTGGTCCTCAGGTGATAGTTTTCTATCTAGAACCACCCCTAGATCTCTTTCTTTATCAGAATTCTTTAAAGATTTCTTGCATAATATATAGGTTGTGTGGGGTCTATGTTCTCCTATTCCACATGCCATAACATGGCATTTATTAACATTAAATTCCATTTGCCAAGTGGCGCTCCATGTACTTATTTTGTCCAGGTCTTCTTGAAGGGCATGACAATCATCTAAGTTTCTTATCCTTCCTACTATCTTAGCATCATCAGCAAACATGTTCATATAATTCTGTATACCAACTGGTAGATCATTTATGTAGACAATAAACATCACTGGTGCAAGAACTGAACCCTGTGGCACTCCACTTGTAACATTTCTCCAGTCCGATACATTGCCTCTGATCACAGCCCTCATTTTTCTATCAGTCAGAAAATTTTTCATCCATGTTAGAAGCGTACCTGTCACTCCTCCAATATTTTCCAGTTTCCAGAACAACCTCTTATGTGGAACTCTGTCGAAAGCCTTTTTTAGGTCCAGATAGATGCAGTCAACCCAACCATCTCTTTCCTGTAATATCTCTGTTGCTTGATCATAGAAACTGAGTAAATTCGATACACAGGATCTTCCAGATCGAAAACCATACTGTCTGTCTGATATTATAACATTTCTCTCCAGGTGTTTTACCCATTTAGATTTAATTATTTTTTCCAATATTTTGACTATTACACTTGTCAATGATA